CGGGGGCTTGTCCCTCTCGCTCCCTTCCCCCCCCCTGCCCTGCGCACCTTGAGGCGGGGGGGCTGGGCGTGCAGCGCCTCTTTGACCCGCAGCAGCGTCTCCTCCTCCTTGCGGAGCTCCTGCAGGCGGCTCAGCATCCTGCTCCCCCTCCCCGCCTCGGGGGGCGCGCGCGCACGGATGACGTCGCCGGCGACGGCCCTCTTGCCGGCCGGAGGGAGAAGAGGCGTGGGACGCGGGGGGCGCCATTTTGCTCCAGGGCGGAAGAGAGGGAAGAAAAGCCACGTGCCTGATTTGTAGGCCTTGAAGAGCTCGGGTTAAGCTCTTCATGCTTCTCTCCTCCCCCCAAATGTGGAGGGAAGGCCAGGAATGACGTGGGCAGAAAAGCAGCTTGTCAGGAAAGAGGCTAGCGGCAGAGGGGAGCAGTGCCCAGCCACAGCAGTCCCTTCCCGTTCTACCCATTATTTTTATGCCCAGGGCAGGGGTCCCCAAACGTGGCAACTTTTAAGACTTGTGAACTTTTAAGTCCCAGAATTCTCCAGCCAGCTGAAGTTGACGTTCACAAGTTGCCAAGTTTCAAGACCTCTGGCTCAGGGTGTTACCCTCGAAGGACAGATAAGAAACGCTGGGTATTTTTTTTTTTTGAAGGCTTGTTGGCACCCTAGCATTTGTGAAGGAGATGGGCAGTTTAAAAATGTTGATCAATACATCTTCACATATTGCCAATGTTTGTATCGCAAATCTGCATTTTTCTCCCTGCTGCAGTCTGTCCCAGTACAGCTGGGGAGTGCAAAGGCTCACACTGGATATTTTTGCTTCAAATACCCTGCGATTAAGCACTGCAGCATCTGAGATTAAAACACACCATCTTCCTGTGCTGGTTTAGCCAGTTTGTGGTATAAGGAATGTGTACCAGGATTTTTAAATCTGATAAAGAAAAAATTCCTTTGTAAACATTTACAATGCTTTTCCCATTTTGGAAAATCTCTAAACACAGAAACAGCAAGCACCAATCACATGGGTAGATCCTGTTTTCTGTAAATCTGTTTTCCCAGGCATCATTCTTTCACATCAGGTTTGTTATATAGCTGGGGGATCCCTGAGCAGGAAGCATTAAAGGAAAGCCAAACACCCTCCAAATCTGGTGCAACATAGCAGCTGTTACCCCCAAAAGGTACCATTGTTAATTGCACATTTAATATATACAGAAATAGCATATCCTGCTTTTCCTATCAATTTCTAATCGAGATATTTATGCAGAAATAAAAAGCAAAGTAACAAAAAAGCAAGGAACTAATTGTGAAGGTCCTTCCCACATTTTTTTTCTCCCAAGATCTTGATCTTGCTCCTGAATTCCTTTTCTGTGGCTGTGATGGGAAGATTCCAGCTCGCTGATGAAACCTAGTCTTCTGCTTCTGCCATTCCTGCAACATCTGGTCGCTCGAGTGAATATGTTCATGCAAAGAGCATCCTTTAGCTCAGTCATGCTGCTCTATTTCTAATTACATTGCATTCTAAAAGATGAAATGATGACACCGCTTTGTATATATTTTTTATTATGAGTAAATTGTCATCTTTTGGGCATTGAATCATAAAAATGCAGCAGCTTTTTATGCTGTACTTTCACTCTTTTCAGCACCTGCAACTTGGATCTTCGCTTTCCCTTTCGCTGCCTTCTCCTCTCTGAGTTTGTGCTATCAAAAAAGAGAAAAGGGTTCCGTCATTTCTATTCCTTTAAAACAGGTGTTCTGGAATAACACTTCAGAAATGTCAAGCCACTCACATTTTTAGCATGGCGCAGAATAGTGTTACGCCTCATAGTTTTGGCATATGGGTTCAGTTTAAACATGACTCTCAAATTCTTCAGTGGATTCTTCTTAAGGACTCTACGATGAATCTTCTTCCTGCAGAACAGATGGGTAGACAGAACTGTGAACACAACTTTGGTGGACCACTCAGTGTGCATGAAGGGTAACTACCAAAGACCAATACTGGGGAGAAGAGGTAGCATGCAGAAAAGTAGTATAACACAACCCCATCTTCATGGGAACACAAACACACCTTTATCCTCCAGAGAACAAAAGCTTATGGTTTGGATACGTACTTGGGTGGACGTAGGGCCTTCTGGATCTCCTGGCTTTTTAGGATCCTTCCAAGATCAGTATTGGTCATCTTGTGCATTGGCAGACTGCATTGAAAGACAGATTAGAACAAAGATATAACTAATGAATTATTCTTTTCAAGATGGAGTATTGAGAGGTATATATAACATGATTACTATTTCATAGTAAAAACAGGTGGAACAAGCATTAAAAAAGAACTAGATTGAGATTATAGTGCAAACCCATCCAAACGTGATTACCCAGAGACTGGCTCTGGCACTTCAGGTATGAAGGCCTACAGGTATATGCAACACCTCTCAACTACTTTATGGAGTTGCCAATTACACTGAAGAAAGCCTCTCTCTCATTCAAAGCTCAAGTACTGCACAGCTTCTACTATATTTCTATATAATATAAATTACTAAAAGAGCCTTGGTGGCCCAGCAGTTAGAAGGCATTATTGCAGGCTGACTCTGCCCAGCACTAGGAAATTAATGGAAGGTTGACTCAGCTTTCCATCCTTTGAATAGAAGTAAAATTGATGGAAGTAAAAAAAAAACCTCAGATTGTTGTGGGCAATGAACTCATTTTGTAAACCACTTAGAGAATGCTGTAAAAGCACTATGAAGCAGTATACAAATCTAAGTGCTATTGCTATTTCCCCATGACTTGTGTTGGAGAGATATCCAGGATCAACTTTTTCAATCAGCATTGATCTGAATTGGCAACAATATGTTCATGCACTGGTAATGTAGATCTATGAGCCAAAATGTCATTTCTGATTCCTGGGTGTAACCCCCCCCCCACCCAATGAAGAGAAAGGATACTGCCCAGTTCCCTTCAACACGCTGACCTCAGCATCGTGAAAGGAACAGCAAAGATGAACACGGACTGAGGTCACCCCCATTCAACGGCCCCTTGAGTTGGTCATATCTGGGTTAGGACTTTCAATGTTCCAGTTTGCAAAGCTGAAAATGAAGCTAAGGCGGACTCACTTGTAGCTACTTTTCAGGGTGGCAGGCTTGCGCCAAGTGCCGTATAAGTTGTCCAACTTGCGGAAAGCACTTTCAGTCCAGATGCAGAAACGTCCAACGTGGCCACCAGGAGCAAGTCTCAAGAGATTCAGCTGGCTCACATTCAGAAGAGTAATTCCTATTAGGGGAGAGGATGCCAGATGCCCTTTCATGTAAAGTTATTGTCTTAAACTCAATCCATGAAGTTTAGAAAGTAAATGGTCCACTATTTGATACCTAAGTCAGAACTTCCACCAAATCATGTGTTTTCAGAAACACGGACCAATGAAGTGGAATATCATCATTCAGGGCCTTTCTCTAGCCTACAAACTTGTTTGAATCCTGGAGGGCAACTGAAGGGAGTACCTGGGATATTTCTGAATGCTTTTATGACGCCATTGTCTTCGTTATAGATGATGCAAGGTCCCCTGCGCTGGATGCGACGGCGGTTCCTCATTTTACCTTTGCCTGCCCGCATGCGCTGAGAGGCATAGACCTGGACAGAAATAGGTGTGTAAAAATCCAAATTCACCAACTTCACTATTACAGATGTGTTACCCAGCAATTCAGAATTTCACCATCGTCAACGTTTATCTGAAACACGGACCAGTGAAAAATTCATCATATGCAAAGGCAAATGATTACGTATGATCAGTCGTTTTTGGTACCTCTCTTTGCGGTAATCATATATATTTGTACTAAACGCTAAGCTCTTTGATGTTAGTGAATTCTAGTAATGAACTGGCCAACAGAGATTTTTCAAGCCAAATAAAACAATCAGTCTGTCCATCAGTCAGCAACGCTTCTGCTTTGTAATTGATGATCAACCCACCTTTTTGATATCATTCCAAGCTTTCAGCTTCTTAAGTAGGAGAACAGCTTCCTTGGTTTTTTTGTAGCCTTCAACTTTGTCTTCAACTACCAGAGGAAGTTCTGGAATCTCTTCAATGCGGTGACCTAAGATAGCAAAAGAATCATTTAGAGTTGGCAAGCGAAGCCCAAAACCTACTACTCTGACTTTTACGTTGACTTTCAATTAATTTCTGAGTACATTTAAAGACTTAATGGAGTGATCTAGTTGTCTCCAAAATGACCTCTTCTGTGCAACCTGGTTGAGCATGCTTTATATCACTCACTACCCCTACCCTAATTGAAAGGGAAGCAAGCTATGTTTTTATGTGCTCACAGCCTTGTTGAATAACTTCTCCCTACAGGTTCATTTCCCACCTACCCTCATACAACTCAAGGCTTTGGAAGTGTTTTTGTAGTAAAAACACTGTGGTAAACTCCACTGGAGTTTATATCTGTTTGTTGTAAGTTATTTTTAAATTACTGTTTTGATTTTATAATTGTGGCATATGGTTACTGTGTTGCAGTATCATTTTACATTTTATGGATTTATCTATTGTGAAGTTCTTATGGTTACAAGGACATTTATACAAGTGCAGTAATATTTGATACCTTTTTGTACATATTTCATAGGCTCTGTTCAATTACATTTACCCTGTATACCAATACCATTGCAGAAAGACACTTGCCTTTAGACATGACTAGAGCTGGAAGGGCAGAAGCTGCCAGAGCAGAGCAGATGGCATAGCGCTTCTGAGTGACGTTCACTCTGCGGTGCCAGCGTCGCCAAGTTTTGGTTGGGGCGAACATGCGACCTCCACGACACATCTATGCTTCAGGCGTCAAGGATGGAACTTTTTTTTTATTGCAGGAAGCCCCTCTTCCACCTTGCTCAGAGTTAAAGGATCATCAATCATCTGTACCAGCTGTTGACAGCAGGCAACTGTCACTGAATACAGAGTAAGGCGCAAATTACAACATCATTGCAAGTAATGGACCTCTCTTCTTGTAACCAAAACAAGGTAAGCAATTGGTGTAGGGTTTTCTATGCTACTAGGGCTTTAAGTGAACTGCCCATCAAACAAAACAAACATTTTAAATCATAATAGTGAAGTTCAAAAGCCATCTACATTACACAGTTGCTATGCATATCAAATAAGTTGTAACGAAGGATACATTGCCAAAAGCACCCTGGCCAGATCGATGAGTTCCACCCCCACGAACCCTTGGAATACGAGCAACTGCCCTTCCAGTACCCCAGGATTCAGCACTGGTCTGGTGCCCTGGGGAAAGAAAATATATATATATATATTAACCACACAGATGATAGATTTTAGGTAATTTCCCTGAAGATTTAAGCACCAACATCAGATTGTCTAGTAATATTAATAAAAGCAAATGTTTTTCCAACAGTCCTTGGAAGCAAACATCTGCTTTATGTTTCCTAATGAATCCATGAGCTATTCTAAATGTTATTGATTTTTTTTAAAGTGGTTATCAATGATTTTGATTTTTTGCAAGCTTGTATATTATCTAAAGATGTGATTGCAGTGGTATGGAAATATGGGAAATTCAAGACCAATAATAAAATTTCACCATTCTATTAATATTCTGTTGCAGTATCTCATTTTCAAACCCAGTAACTCTTTGGATGTTTTTAAATCCTAAACTAAATCAACACACTATGATATTTGGTTGTTTTTTTTAATGTTAACGTCTGAAGAAAATGTGTTTTATAGTGGATTACTGCATATTTCAAATCACGTATCATTACTGCTTGTGATGTGATAACTACTATCAATCTAAATATTGAAAAGCACTAAATGCCCATCTTTCAAACTTTACAAAAACACAACTCTTCTGCAACTTACCTGCAAGTTCACTGACGGCATAGGGCTGCCTGCTGTTCTTCCTCAAATTAGTGTGAACAAAATTCACAATGTCTGGGCGAATGGGAGCCTTGAATACAGCAGGCATAGTGACATTTTTACCTGAAACCTCTCCCTTTTCGGAGTAAACCGATACTAATGGTCGAGTACAAGCCTGTAGAGGGAAAAGGAGCATTAGGCTTGCAATTCAACTCATTCTGCTGATGCTTAATAATATAGAACTATTGCTCAGTTTGGAAGAATCGTCAGTTCAATGGCAACAGTTTATGGACAGCAGGCAACCGCCCCTGAATACCAGATAGGACGCAAATTACAACATCATAGCAATACAGGTGTTCAATTCATTGGATTCTGCATGCCTATAACCACCATGCTGCAGCATAGTGCATCTTGACTTTAATGTTTAATATGAATTATACTGCCTCTCATCATGGAAATTTAATTTACCTCAACACTTGGTTGGCGGGAAGAGGATGTCATCTAACACTGAGCAGTTGAAACACGAAGGTAATAATGGAAGAGCTGCTGCCTCTTCTGTCCAAGGACCATCCCATCCCAATCCTTCCCAAGCCATTGAACTTGTAATTTGCTTCACAAGACCCATACGTGAATTTCAGCCACTTACAATCATAATCAGGAATAACTAATACTGAACTACATAGTTATCTATGTACTCCATTATTTTAGACCATAGTAATACAGTTTAGATCATACCAATACTTATGTAGTCACAAAAGGTCCTACAAGCCTACATTCATCTTGCAACTACAAGAACTGAAATGAAGGCATGTGGCTAATTTTGGGGAGTAATGTTAGATAGGAGACAATTCGATATGGAGATCCCCTCTGGCTCGGCATTTCGATGGTGTGCGTGTGATCTAACACTAAGTCAATCCTCCTTGAGCAGCTGAAAGGAATTTGAATATATCAGATATACCCCGGTCTGCTGATTTGCTTCAAGAAGCCCAAACGGGAATTTCACCTCCTTACAACCATTCCTAAGACTATTATTATTATTTATTACTGTCAAGGTTAAACGAACTGCCCAGCACAGGGTTGCAGCAACATTGGTGCTTTAATGTGATCTGGAATCTACCCTTTCATTATTGCTGATGATGGAGTCATCGTGGACCATTCTCCACGGTGCGTGTCGGTCTTCTTGGGAGGGCGACCGTCTTCCCCTCTCCCCTCGATTTAAAGCGGGTGAGGACTCCCTGCGAGGCGAGGCCCGGGCCTCCGCCTTGGTTCGGTCGGCCTCCACGCGGCAGCGATTCCTCCATGACGCCAAGATGGCGCCTGCCCGGCCTCCGGCCTACCCGGCCTCCTCTCTCCCCGTGTTCCCCAGGAGGCGCCCCTTTCGCTGCCCGCTTGTCAGCCGAGGCGTTCCGGCCCGAGCCCCCCCGCCGCCTCCCCCGGTTTCCCCACCATCCGGCCCGCTTCTCTCCTCACCATGATGGGCGCCGTCAAGACCGCTGAGGAGCCCCTCGCGCGGCGCCCGTCTCCGCCTCAGCCCCGACCGGAAAAGGAAAGTCACCTCACAGCTCTATGGCTTTTGCCGCTTGCGCGCACGACCCCGCCCCTTACGAGCAAAGGAAGCGCCCCTCAGTCGGCAGCTCGCCCGTGTTTTCTTCTCTTTCCGTTCTGATGTCCTCGTCTAGTGAAGATGAAGGGGAAAAAATCTTTTCCAGCCGCATTCTCCGTTTAAAGTCTCCTCCGAAGATGTCGGGATTATCTTCTTGGAGGAGGGGGAAGAGAGAGAAAGGATCCGGCAGGCGTCTCTCTTCGGCGGAGGGATTTCTCAGGCACCCACGGGTGTTGGGAAGTAGTTCTGGCGCGCAAGTTTGAGCTACAGGAAGCGACTGCGCATGTGCGCGGCTCCCGGGCTGCTGGCCGTCTCTGAGGCGGCGGTTCTGGGATGGATTCGCGGCGGAGGCAGGAGGGCATCCTCCGCTTCCACAGCTTCCTCGTGCAGTAAGTGGGCCCGTCCTCCTCTCATCTTGAAACTGTTCAAAAAAAAAGAATAGGGTTTTTAGCTCTCCGCTTTAATCTTCACAACAACCCAACGAGGTAGGCTTGAAAGGGTAGCGGTGAGGTTCACGGGTCTCCAGCTTAAGAGATGATTATAAAAAGGGAGGGAAAAAGTGAAACACCAGGAGTGAGCCTTACTAGCCTTGTAATACAGTAATAGGGCGATTATTATGATCTAGTTTATTTTTATTCTCTGGGTAACAAAAACCTGCCATTCAAATAATTGCCTTTAGGTTCCTGCTGGAACTCTTTTGCTTCATATAACTAATTTTAAAAAATAAAGTAAATGAAATTATCCAGATTTAGTTATTTTGCAATTATTTTTGGAACCCATTCCATTCCTGGACAGGGATGGCTATTAACTCTGAGGGAAGATTTGAACCCAGGTTCCATCCTGTAAAAGCCCAGTGTGAAAATACTGGAGTGGGCTGGAATCTGTGGTGGCTTTCAGTGAAGCCTGTGAAAAAAATGGACCCGTAATTTCGGAGTATAAGACGCACCCTTTCCCCCCAAAAAAGGGGGTGAAAATCTGGGTGTGTCTTATACACTGAATACAGCATTTTGGCCTCCTGAAAATGGACGTGCAGAGGGTTTGGGAGGCCTGCAAAGTCCTCCTGGGGGCTGGGGAGGACAAAAAAGAACAAAAAATGGACCGTTCCCCCCCCCCCCCAACTGTAAGCTTCCTAAAGGCTATGCATACCCTTTTTGGGGCAACAAACGGGCTTGGTTTTGCAAAAAACAGGTTATTTTTGGTCGTGTTTGCCCAGCCCCCAGGAGCACTCTACAAGCCTCCTAAAGGCTATGCTTGCCCCTTTTAGCGGGGGGGACTGGCCCATTTTCATGAAAAACTTGACTTTTTTGCTCATTTTTGCCCCCCCCAGCCCCCAGGAGCAGGCCTCAAACTCTCTGCATACCCAGTTTTTCACAAAAAATGAGGTGTGCAGAGGGTTTGGGAGGCCTGCA